TTTATTGTTAAGGGTGGTACAGTGGTAACTTTTATTGGTTTTTATAGTATATCAATAGTCTATTTGTCTTTGACTCTATTACTATTGCTGATTTCTTTGCTATTGCCAACTGTGGGATAACCGTTGTTATTAATTGGTTTTTACTATATGCCAGTGTCTGGTTTGTCTTAATGTCATTGACATTACTATGGTTCACTTTCTCCTCTGTTTGGTGCTGGAGATCAAACCGCCAGAGGAAGGTGGAATACTAAGAGGACACTCTAATATTAGGCTGAGTAGGTAGGAGAGAGGTTCAAATGCTAAAACATAACGAAACTCAAGAACATATCATAGGAAGACAGATTCTAACTAAAGACATCTTCACAGTAATGATGGAGTATTTCTAACCTAACTGATCTCCATCCTGCAGAATAAAAACAATAAAAATATGACAAAGCAAGACAAAAAGAACCTCCCCAAACCTCTACCTCCCAAAAGCTAATCTTAAGAACACTAAAGGGAGGAAGGTACAGGCAAAGGACCCAAAAAGAAAATGGTGAAAATGTGTGACAAGTTCAAAGAAGAGACAAATTCATACAATACTTACCTGAAAGAGAATTTTATTAAGCAGTTAAACAATTTTATTAATAAAATGTCTGACAAGCTTAAAAAAGAAATAAACAAAAAACTATGACAATAAAAGATATAAATATCTAGTTTGGTAAAAGAATTAAAATTATGAAAGGACAGCAAGCAGAAATACAAGATATGAAAAATTCAATAGAAACCATGGGTAATGCAGTAGATTTGAACAGTATGAGGACAAAGTATAAGAAATTAAAGATAAACTGGATGTAGCAGATTATAAACTCAATGTTACCCTACAAATGACAACATAACATGCAACCTGGATTCAAGAGCTGCTAAATGACTCAAAATCAACATGAAAATTTTAGGAATGAAATAAACACTAGAAAACAACTCAAGTGATTTAAAATTTATTCCCTGAAATCACAGAAGAATACACTTCAAATTTAGGGAAAGAATTCAATATTCAAGTACAAAAAGCATATAGAATACCAAATATCCATAATCAGAAAAGAAATTCTCCATAACATATCAGAGTTAAAATTCAGAAATTCAACAAAAGGAGAAAATATTAAAAACTGTTAGAGAAAATGGCAAGTTACTTAGAAAGGCAAGCCTATCAGAATTACAGCAGATCTCTATGAACAAGCTTTAAAAACCAAGAGAATTTAGAGCAAAGTTTGTCAAGCCTTAAAAGCAAACAATTATCAACACAGATTTCTATGCTGCAAAATTAGCCTTCAAAATTAATGGACACTGACTTTCCATGACAAAGAAATCCTAAAAACATACATGACTATTAGCAACATATGCAGAAAACACTCAGAAGAATCCTAGACAGTGACAGGGAAACAACCAGACACATTCAGCCATCTGATATTTGACAAAGATGCCAAAAAATGCATGCTGGAGGGCCGGGGATTTAGCTCATGGTTCTGCTGCCTGCCTCACAAGCACAAGGTCCTGAGTTCAATCCCTGTTACCGAAAAAAAAAAAAAAAGGAATACTGGAGAAAAAAATAGGCTCTTTAACAAATGGTTTGGGGAATCTGGTTGCCCCACAGGAAGATTATATCTATACCCATATCACTCACCCTTCTAAAATAAAATCAAAGTGGATCAAATAGCTAGATATTAAAACAGAAACAATCTGCTAGAAGATAAAAATCCTTGAAAGCATCACCATAAGAAAAGACTTTCTAAACAGTTCCCCAATTGCACAAGAAATAACACCAAGGATCAAAAACTGGGATTATATAAAATTTAAAATCTTTTGCACAGCAAAGGAAACAACCAACAGAGTGAAGAGGTAACCTACAGAAGGGGGGGAAAAAAACTGACGAGCTACTTCTTGGAAAGAGGTGTAATATCCAAAGATATTGCAAGCCCAAAATAAAAGACTCAGTCAAAAAAAGCCAACTGAAATGAATAGACTTCTCTGAAAAAGAAATTTAAATAAGTTCATGAAAAAATGTAGCATATATGCCCATTAGAAAAAAATGCAAATTGGGCTGGGGATTTAGCTCAGTGGTTCTCCTGCCTGTCTCACAAGTGCAAGGTCCTGAGTTCGATCCCCAGTGCCAAAAAAAAAAAAAAAAGAAAGAAAGAAAAAAATACAAATCACAACACTGTGATTCCATCTTACTCCAGAAAGAATGGCTATTATTCAGAACTGAAAAAAGCACAAATGCTGGTGGTGGGGAGAACCCTTCTACATTGTCGGTGAGAATGTAAACTAGTACAACCACTATACAAGTCAGTATAGAGACTCCTCAAAAAACTAAAAACAGAAATTTCATTTGACTTAGTTATTCTTCTTCTGGTTATCTTCACAATAGGGTTAAAGACATCTTAATACAGTAGAACACTCATACCCATGTTTATTGCAGCATATCTCATAATAGCTAAATCTTGGGAGTGGCTTATATGTCCATTCATAGATGAATGCATAAGGAAAATGTCATATATACCTATATGACATGCAGTACTACTCAGCCATAAAGAAAGATATGTTTGAGTTATTTGTAGGAAAATGGATGCACCTTGAGACTATAACACTTTGTGAAATTCATCAGACACAGAGGGTTAAATATCACATAGTTTTTCTAATACGAAAAATTCAAAGTATAATTTGAAGAGTAAAATAAAAGATAGATGATGGGAAACAGGGCAGTACACCTTTTGTAGATGAGAAGCAAATTTAAGGACGAAGGGGAAGTTTAAAGGATAATGATGCAATATGTACACATGCCAAATCCCTACAACAAATGTATTCATTATGCATCATAAACATGACCTAATAAAAAATTAGAAAAATAAGATAGTTAGTTATTCCTAATTAGTAATTTTCACAAGAGAAACACAAATTAGTGAACTGAAATATTAAGATTCAATTGGCAATTGGGCTGTTTCCAACTGGAGACTGCATAAGAAGATGTGCTTTTTTTTTTTGGTACCGGGGATAGAACTCAGGACCTAGCTAAATGGATGTACATTGAGGCCATACTCTTAAGCAAAATAAATAGAACACACATGTGTAAATAGTGAATAGTCTCTCTGGTGTGAGAAACTGAAAGTGTAAATAAGGATCAAAATGCATAATAGATAATATGAAATAGGAAGAAAAGGTCCAAAGGGGAAGGAGAAGTTGAAGGGGTAGGGGAAAGGAAAGGGAAAGGAATAAATATGCGAAAAGGAAATAATGGAAACAAAGTCTTTGTAAATAGAGAGAGGTGAAGGGGTTGAAGGGAGGGCAAGAGAATGGAGAAAATATAAGAATCAAGATATATCATGTAAAAGTACAAATTCCCAATGATGAAAGCCATCATACTGTATACCTAAAATGTACCAATAAACTTAATGAATAAAAAAAAGTAATACATCTTGCCACACACTTCAAAAAAAAAAAGATACAATTGGAAGGTTGATTAAAATTTTTAAGTCCTATCAAGTTTCAATTTTTAAAACAGATAAAACAAAGAAAACTAGAGAGGCTTTGTGTGATAGGCTCCTAGCCAAAAAAGTAAACAGAACCATTCTGCCATCTGGTAACTCCTCTAGATGACTCTTAACTGATACTAAATGAGCAAATGTTGTAATAACAGCATGTTCCATAAATTAGACAGCAATATATGAATTTAAAATTATTCCAGAAACATATTTTAAAAATCAATACTAAATCTTCCCGATCTCCTTTTTTATTAACAGGTTAGCATATTTCTGAGAACATTTGCCAAATTTCTAACATAAACAAGACATGGTGCTAAAATAATTTTTCTCCCATAGAACAAACAAGTGTAATACATTAAGGTATTTGGTTTGCTTTATTAGATACTAAAGATGCCCATGAACATGAAAATAAAGAAGGCAGATTAGGCATCTCTATTCCCAGAGGAAACCTTAGGCCAATTTGCAGTGCTGAATGGTAAACTATGGTGTCTTAGCAGGGAAACTGAAGTATTTTAATTAAAGCCTTCTGCAATCTTTAATGGCTTAGAGGTAGAAAAGCCAGAACTTACAGGAGTTGAAAATATAATAATTTACTTCTTTCTTTTGCTTCTAAATTAGTGATATCTTTTACCTTTTGAAAATATTGAGGTGTCTAAAAAACCATTAATTTTACATTTTTTAGCACTCCAAGTCTTTTTATTTTTTAAAATTGAAAATACACAAAAGTAAAGAGGAGAATAGTGAGTCACATTCTTTCTCACAAGTACCCACTACCCAACTTTAGCAATGACTATTTACAGGTAATCTTTCCGCCATAATATCACAGGTATGCCAGTCACTCCACACTATTTTGACTTAAATTCCAGAATCACATCTTTTTGTGTGCGAAATTTCAGTATGAACCCTAAATGATACTGTGAAACATACTGATAACATTGCCATGTCTACAAGGAAAAAAACCTAAGATTTTAAATTTTTGAGATTATATTTTCCTAGTTATTTGCTGGGATTGGAGCACATATAAATTCCATGTGTTGTAATTGGTTGTTATGTGTTTTAAACCACTTTATAGTCATTTCTTTTCCCTCCCATGAAGTATCTTATTCCCATGGAATAGCCTGTCAAAGAAACTAGGTTACATGTTCTATAGAATTCTCCAGAGTCAGTTTCCTATGGTTGTTAATTTATTAATTTACATAATTATTAAAGATTGGTTATCAAAGTAGTACTGAAAGAAATGGGAATATACTACAAACAAAAGAGTACACCACAGGACCAATCTCTCCATTGCTAACATCTGAAACAAGACAGGACTCTTTAGAAAACTAAATGGAAAAAAGCCCATAAAACAACTGCTCTATGATTGAAATACAGAAACAAGTAATCATAGTTTCTTCTTTTACCAAATGCACTAAAATGATAATAAAGTAACCAGTATACATCTTAAGCATGTATAACACAAATAGCAAATTTGATAGTACTCACCAGTCTTCATTTCTAGTAATCGCTTTTTCTTTTGCTGGCGTTCACATCTTTCTTTCTCTGCTAATTCTTTAGCTATTCTGGCACGTCTTTCTTTTTCCTCTTCTTCTCTTTTTCTGAGGTTCTCCTTTATTGCTTGCTATTACAAATGAATTTTGAAAAATGATCAATATTAATCAGTTATTTCACAAGAACATGGAAAATTATCAATCAGATATTTTTCAGAAAACAGTTAGTTCTTATATTATTAACAGTCTTTTATAAGAGACTGATATAAAATCTGTTAAATATATCATGTGTCTATAAATACACAGTTATATTTAAAACACCTGCATCTAAGTGTAATTAACTAAAACGGTGAAGGGAGACAGAAACTAAAAAAAGCATTTAATTCACAAATCAAATCTGCTTATCAACATATATTTTAAGTAAAGCATTTTGTAACTGAATTCATCTCCCATACCTCCCCTGTTATGTCAGTTATCAAGTATAAATAAAATAGCTAAAGAAATTATAGACAAAAGCTGAAATCTTATAATGTCTACTTTATATCATCAATTTTTTTCATATAGAGGGAAGATAATGCATATTTGGTATTTTAAAGCCAGGGCCTATGACTGTTGATCAAATCCAATAAGAAACCGTTAATAAAAGAGCTCAATAGTTATGTGATTAATTTACTAATTTTAAGTTTTATGCAAATCAAGAAATGCCTCTCATGTGTAACTAGTGAGAATTAGCAGGTGAACAGATTTCTGTAAGTGTATCTATCATATTACAATAGAAGGGCTGTATTTTATTTCAGTGCAAATAAAACCAAACAAGTTATCACATTAGTTTATCACGAATGGTATTAAAAATGTGTAATTAACATGCAACTAAGCAGGAGGCTTGTTATTTCAGGGGGAGACATTAATTTCTTCTTTACTGTAGTATTCTCTTTTTAAGCCCAGAGACAGTCCACATTCTTCACTGGGAATCACATAATAAAATGTAATATTATTGGCTAAAACAGTATAAGGAGAAAAGAAGGAACATAAAGCATAGAGGAAATAGAATATTAACCTATATATCTATTCATTCAATACATAGTTACTGAGAGAAAATACAATAGGTTTTAAGAGAGACAGACATATACAAACAGATCAGGAGGTAGACAGGCAATAAACAAAAATTTGATATACCATCTTTAAAAATGGATCTGATAGACTGCCTAGGGGATTTCTTTACATTAGGTGGTCAATAAGGCTTCACTGTCTGATTTGATCCCATTTTAATTTTAAATGCCAAGGTGACAGCTAGGGGCTGATGGGGGAAGAACAAACCAGACAAAGGGAAATGGTAACGTGAAGAAATAGAAAGGACAGTGTAATGCTAATGAGGTCAGGGAGGTAAGCTCAGGCCTGATGATTTGGCATCTTTTAGGACAAGACAGGGAAAATGGATTTTGTTTTAAAGGTACTGGACAGCATTTGGAGATTTTCAATCAGGAAAGTGTATGATTAAATACTCTCAGCATACAAGCACTAATCAAGAACCTCAGCTGCAAACTATCTTTTCAAATGTTACCTGGCCTGTGGAAATGTGCACTCTGGAACCTACAAAGATACTCTGGTGAGTAGTATTGCTATAAATAATACACTATTGTTTGTCTCTGACCCCACAGACTTGTATCTTCAGCCAAAATCCATGAAACTTGTGTGTCTCATCCTAACCTGTTAGCCTGCCAGTAGGTAAACTCTCAAAATCTTCACAGTTCTTGACACTATTATCATTAAGATATGAAACATCAGCTGCAATGCTTGATGCTTTCAAACACAGTCTTTTTGAAACTCAAACTAGATACTGCATTGCCCATTTTGGCTCCAAAGGGTTAAGTGTGTGTTCATTATAATGAACACAGTAATAGGTGCTAAGTTGCAAGATTTGAAAGCTATCTGTAGTCAGTGTTCTTCCACCATGTTGTTTCATATTATGATCATATATGTTAACAGCCAGCCATGAGATAACGGTTGCTATAAAAATCAGTGTATACCAAAGAAGGCATCATAAAAGTAGAAAATAAACATGAGTTCAAACACAAATACGTAAGTGTGTCGGTATGCGTATCAATGTATGTTTAAGGAAGGTAAGTTAGAAAGAGGGGAATGTGATGGACAAAAAAGTAGGTAAATATTCAGGAATCAAAATTTATGTCTTGCTCGAGGCAAATGAATAAAAAGAACCTCCGATAGATAAATAATATATCACATAGCTTATTTATGAGCCTTATTAATTTTCTGGGGTAAATTTTTCACATTAATGACTGGATACATTTCAGTGTGAACATTTAATAGACCATCTATTACCGGATATAACTGCCACACCCTTTTAGAATCCACTGGGTAATGAAAAGTCAAAATTACTTTCCAAGATCTATAAAAATAGTGTTTATGTTTAAAAAAAAAGTCTGAAGTAGTTCTTAAAGCTATTTTGTTTTTGGGAAAATGTACTATTGATTTTCATTTAAAAGTCTACCTCATTTAACATTATAACTATTCTGACAGTGTAACTATTAGGAGAGAAATTTACCTGGAAAAATGCCGATAGCACAGAAATAGGCATTTATTTTGCAAGTAACAGCCCAGTTCAAACAGTAATTTGAGATTTTCTTTTATGCCAAATGTTAATAATATTCTAAACAGAGAAGCTGAATAGAGAACAAGATTATTTTAAATATATTTGCTTATTTCAGCCCTAAATTCAAAGCCAGGAAGGATGTCAAAGGTGAGCTAGATATAAGGATAGTTGGCGATAAGACACTGAGCATTCATCTTATCCTTGACTAGGTTTCTTTATTTAGTCACTTGGCAAATAAATTTTGCTACCGCTTACTACTTTCAGTTCTGTATTGTCAAAAGTCATTTTCTAGGCACGCTTTCCCAGATACAGTCTAGTGCGCACCCTCCTCTGACACATCTATCAGTGTACATATGTGACCATGGAGGGTTTCAGAACTGTAGCCACATTTTGACTGCTCATTAAATAGACATAATCAATAACCTGGGTTCTGAAGGCTCAAATGCTTTTTATGGTAACAGCAGGTTGTAAGACATATATAACAATGTATAGGTAAACAAATATGTTTATACATAAATATATAGATATGCTAACAAATACATAAGTGTGTATGTTCTGGAAGAAAGTAAATTGGACAATTATTTCCCTCTATAATCTATGTTTTTTGCATAAGTGATATAATAAGAACTTTGCTACAACCAACTGAAATATATAATAGCATTCTGTAACATTTTCTTTTCAGAGAAACCAAAATGGCCCAAAGCTAGTAAGTTTAAATAAATGTATATGTATATATGTCTGTAAAATTTAGAAGTGTTTGGCTGAGAGTAATGTTCTGTAAGTTGTGGCTACTGTTATCTTAAATATCTTTGATTTCATGCAAATATCATCCTTTAACTCCTGTGACTTGCTCTTTTCACTCAATATTTACTTTTAAGATTGATTCATCTTTTTATGTATAAATTGCACTTCATTTTCGCTGCCTATATAAACTGTGTTGCTAGTGACTCCATTGGTAGGATTTAGGTTGTTTATAATTTTTGGCTATGATGAGCAATGCAGATATGAACATTTCTGTAAATGTCCCCTAGTGTACATAATTAATTAATTTCCATTCTGTCTGTATGTATTGTATCTCATAACTTGTATTTCTAAGCTATTCATCAGTTCAAACATTTTCCTCATATTTATAAAACATTTGCATTTGCTATTCTGTGAATTATCAATTCATATATTTTTAGCTGCTTTTCCATTAGGTTGCTTCTATTTTAATGTTTTGTAGTTCTCGAAATATTCTAGATACCAATGAATATTCTAATATTAAACCCCACTTTCATATTTTTAGGATAAACAAATTGGACAGGAGAAATGTATCTTTTTGAACATTTTACCATAGCTTTTTTTTTTTTTTTTGCATTTCATTCCTATGGAACCATTTCATTAAAATTTAGTAAAACTCATCTGTGAAACTTTGTGGGCCAAGTATTTAATTTTGAGACGATTCAAAAGAAGTCATTAAATTAAAAATTAGTTATAGAACTACGCAAGCTTTTTATTTCTTTTAAAATAATTTTAGAAAGTTATTTTCTTCTACGAAGTTATCCAATTTATCAAAATTTCTTAATTCTGGGGTACAAACTTTTATAGTATGCTCTATCTGCTGCATCTTTAGTTGTGGTTCTTTTTACATTCTCATTACATCTTTTTCTTGATTAATCGTTTCAGAAATTTATCTAATTCATTTGTCTCTTCAAAGTACCATTTTGGGTTTTACAATTCTATATTACTTTTTCTTTCATTCATTTTTAAATTTTCTACCTATTTCACTCAAATCAAACAATATCTTTAAAAAAAACTTCTGAAGCCAACTGCTTGTTAATTTTAGTCTTTTTTTTTTCTTTTTAATAAAAGCACTTTGGGCATAAATGGCTTTAGATCACTTTTACCACATGCCACAGATTCTGAAGGAGAATATTTTCAATATTGTCCAGTCCTATTGTAATTTCATTCTTGACATGAGTTATTATGTGTATCTTTAAATTTTTCAAAATACATCTTTAAATATTTCATTCTCGGGCCGGGGATTTAGCTCAGTGGTTTCGACGCCTGCTGCGTAAGCACAAGGACCCAAGTTCGATGCCCGGTACCACAAAAAAAAAAAAAAATCATTCTCTTTAGTTTTATTTCTATTTTCACATTATTGTGGTCAACGAATGAATGTGACATTTAGAAATTTATTGAAATATCTTTCATGGCCTCATGCACATAATCAATTTGATAACAGTTCCACTTGTGCTAGACAAAAATGTGCATTCTTTAATTAGAGTTTAGTTTCAAAATAAGTGTGTTACTCAAATTTAAGCTTCTACATCTTTAATAGTTTCTGCTATTCTTATAAATGAATTAGAGAACATTCCAAATGTAATGCTAAATCTGTAAATTTATCCCTATTATAGTTCAGTCACTTTTACATTGTCATTTTGGGGCTATGTTAGTATACACATAGGAATTTTTGAAGTTTTGACTCTTTCAGGGGAATTAAGCTTTTACCATCAGGAAGTAATCTCTGGCCATAAGTCT